TTTGTACCTAGCATTTGTTTTGGTGGACTATGTTGAAAGTTGGTTTTGCTAAGAATAAATAACACTGTCATCTTCACCAGTTATAGGGTGACCATCTTTGCTTGCACCGTAAATGTGGCGCTGACTAAACTGGATGTACTGTTTATTCGAAAAGATATTTTGTATGGGGTCGATATAATTCCACCGGGCAACTTAAAATATTTTTTTTTCTGGAATATCTCGTTCTAAATTTTGGGTCGCAGTAATGATTAAAAATCCTGAACAAGAAAATATTCGGAGAGTATTTGTCAGGAAAACGTAATATCATTACCTATGCTCAAACGTCGACCTCAGAATTCTCAATGGAAAAACCAGTGGCAGATAAAGTCACGAGATTTGACAGCCTTGTTAGATATTTAAATTTTGAAAAAAAGCTTTTAATGGTTAAAGTCCACTTGGGCTATTTCCGCTCCACATCCCACCCTTGTTCTTTCTAAGTGTGGTTAATGTTAGTGTCAAAGTGTGTCTATAGTAGCGAGGAGATACCAAACAACATTAATGACTCGCTCGCGTTTTCTTTTAATTCCAACAGTAACAATCCTTGCAATATGGCAAACTACTGATCCAAGATGGAAATGAGAATTCTGATTGGTCCCTGAGCGGTCTGAGGTTTGCATTACTGACCGCTAAGATGCACCATTCACTAATTAGTTTTGGCGAATTGCTTTTCTCAAAAACATTTTACAGAAGAAAGCAGTTTGTAATTAAGACAAAATCTCAGGGTTTTTTTTGCTGTTTTTTGACATCATATTTGGTGGACAACTTGAGCTTAATTCTGACCGCTGCAACCTGAATTGAAGTACAATCAACCTGAAATACTTGCCTGCCGCGGTGTACCTGCAGGTTTTTCCGTCTCCTGATAAAGGAGTTATTGTTCACACAATAAAAATTTTATCCTGCCCCTCGGTTAATATTTAACTGAAGTATTAAGCTGGCTAGGGCATTTCAATCGGGGGTGTGACATATTGAACTTTTTGGGAACCCTCTAGGCGAGCTATCCATTCCTCGTGGTTTCGACGAACTCATCACAAGCAAACAGCTTAATCGTCGCCTTTTCTTTCCCCTTTCCACCCACCCTTATCCTAGCCACATATACCGTTAACTATTAGAGTTGTATTTCGCGGATTTTGCCCTCACCTTTGCTGGGTAGGGCTTCCTTTCCTTTGGCTGTAATTGATATTGAAGTTAATCATTAAAGAGACTATGTGGCTAGTTACATAGCCAAAGTTTATCCAAAAGGAAATTTGGGCTTGTTGATTTATCTCAAACACCCGTTTCCAGCAAACAGAGCAAGCCCCAAACAATGGTGTTGCTTGTTGTGGAATATGATGCGGAGAGAGGCAGGATAAAGGATGGTTACACGTACATGTGTAGGACCCTACAGTGTTTGTACATGAAGCTAAACGGTGGCAGTCGTGTACACCGCTGACACACTCATCGATATCTG